TTTGTAGATAACTGGCAGCAGTGTAGAACTCTTTGCACCAGCATCACCACAAACACGCGAGCAATGCATTGTTTTACAATGTTACGTGAGCCACATCACCAGGCCTTAGAAATTTTTCAGCTCCATTATTATCTTATGAGACCACCATTGTATATTTAGTCCTTCATTGAGCAACATGTCACTATGTAGCACAAGACTGTATCTTTTTAGGGGCATGTATTATTTAAATAAAAATTTGAAAAAATAGTTAAATACACCCCCATCAGCAGGTAAATAAGCTGCTCCTCTCCACAAGGCTGTCCCAAATACATTTTGTCCCTGGAGACTCTTGCCCCTATACATCCACACACAGTAGTCATGAAAAAATTAGAAACTTAGAGATAAGCTCTTAAAAAGGTAATAGTGCCTCACCTCATAGAAAACTAGATCTTAACTAGAAAAAAAAAAATTGTGAAATAAAATAGAAAGCTCCTCTAGAAAGCTATTTCTATCCAGGGTCTCACAACTCTTAAAATACCCTTGTTTGGGTTGGGCACTGTGGCACACACCTGTAACCCCAGCACTTTGATAGCGAGTGCTTAAGGTCAGGAGTTCAAAACAAGCCTGGGCAACACAGTGAGGCCCCATCTCTACAAAAAAAAAATTTTTAATTAGCCCATTGCTGTGGCACATGCCTATAGTTCCAGCTACTTGGAAAGCTAAAGTGGGAGGATTCCTTAAGCCCAGGAGCTCATTGCTACAGTGAGCTATGATTGTACCACTGCACTCTAGCCTGGGCGACTAAGATCGTCTCTAAAACAAAACAAAGAAAAATTACCCATGGTCAACAGCATCATTTATGCTATCTGCATTTTTTTTTTTTTTTTGAGAGAGTCTCACTCTGTCGCCCAGACTGAAACACAGTGGCATAATCTTGGCTCAGTGCAACCTCTGCCTCCCAGGTTCAAGCAATTCTCGCGCCTCAGCCTCCCGAGTAGCTGGAATTACAGGCACCTGCCACCACACCCGGCTAATTTTCGTATTTTTAGTAGAGACGGGGTTTCACTATGTTGGCCAGGCTGGTCTTGAACTCCTGACCTCAAGTTATCTGCCTCCCTCCGCCTCCCAGAGTACTGGGATTACAGGCGTGAGCCACCGCGGCCAGCCGCTAACTGCATGTTATCTAAAACACAGAGAAAATCTCTCTCCAGGTTTGAAACAGAGCAGATGCACTAGAAGGTGTAAAGACAGCACAAAAGCTTCATAACAGAATTCACAACAGAACTCAGAAGAAAATCATACCTGGGTAGGAGAATCTTGTGCCAAAGGAGATTTCCTAGCATTCTTTATATTTTGCTGCCGAGCGATGAAACGAATCAGATGGTTTGTTTCAGGAGAGCCCCGAGCACCGACTGCAGAACGTCGTCTGGACTTTTTAAGGTAGGATGATGACTTTCCTGTAATGAAACTCTCTTACAAATTGGAACAAAACAAGGCAATCATCAGTAACCACGTCCAATACGCGTGATGTACCAGCCTGAGAGAGAAAACATGATAAACATGTGCTACAGAAAGCTCAGTAGAGAGTTACTGGCAGAGTCGTTCATACACAGTCAGTGGAAGAGGAATCTGTTTTGTCTGCTGACTTAGTCCATGCTTCTAAAACAGTGCCTGGTACATAGAACAGTTATTAAAAGTTGTGGAATAAATACATGAACACGTTTTAAGTTTTCATTTTCGTTTCATATTTCCTACACACAGATGGCTTTTGCTTTTGACTCAGGATTTTTCTTTTTCTAAATAAGTCAGTTTTATCCCCAACAACTGAAAGGTAAGATCTCCACCTAGGTACATGCAGTCTCAGGTTCTTAATTCTTCAAGATGATTGGTTTCTTTCTGATACCTACCATTGGCACTATCCTGAATTTTGGACATATGCCTAAGCACATAAAATGAATCCAGCTTTTTAAAGGTCTAAGAGTCATGTTCTTGAGAATGCAAGTTAGGGTGGCGTGCCACTTGTACCCTGTCTTATGTATCACCTGGTCTAGTGCCCTGTGATGTTCAAGACTTCCATTATCCTCCAACTCTAAAACCTATTCTCTGATCCAATTCCATTCTCATATAGTATTTCCTTCTTTTCCATCTAAGTCAGACTTCACTGGTAAACTTCATTTCTACTGCTTGAAGGACATTAGTGGGAATCAATCTTCTGTTTTTTTTTTTTTTTTGAGACAGAGTTTCACTCTTGTTGCCCAGGCTGGAGTGCAATGGTGCGATCTCAGCGCACAGTAACCTCCGCCTCCCAGGTTCAAGCGATTCTCTTGCCTCAAACTCCTGAGTAGCTGGGAATACAGGCATGCGCCACCACGCCCGACTAATTTTGTATTTTTAGTAGAGACAAGATTTCTTTATGTTGGTCAGGCTGGTCTCGAACTCTTGACCTCCGGTTATCTGCCTGCCTCGGCCTCCCAAAGTGCTGGGATTACAAGCATGAGCCACTGTGCCCAGCCCTGTTTGTGATTTTTAAAGGAGGTACATCCTGATCTTTCAGTATTATATTTTCTTAATTGCTCTTAAACTTTCTCTTATTTTTGCCATAAATGAAAACAAAATGTATTATTACTATTCGTATCAAACACCCTCCTGCATCCCATGTGACAGGTCAAAAAGTGACTCACACACATTTTTTTCTAGTACTGGCATTAAGCACGACTCTGACTTCAGAACATTATCATGCTGGGTGCCTTGCAATTCTGTGATCCCTGCTATGCTAAATGAGCCATGCACGAGCACAGAAGTCTCCCTGAAGAAGCAAGTGTGCAGAGTAGGCAATTTAGGACCTAAAATAATATGACAGTACATATAAACAAATAAAGTTGAATTACATTAAAGTTATGTTTAAACTTGAAAAGCATTACAATAGAATGACAACTTTTCTTACCTGTAGAGTTCCTAACAAAGCTTTCAGGTGTAATTCCCAATTGCTCTACGGTTACTGTGGAAAAGTTCAAAGGTGATTTAAAAGTATCTGGTGTGCAAGGATTAGGAGGTAATTCGGCATGCTTCTGAGGAGTCATAATCTTCCCAGTTCCCAAAATGAAAGACGCATTTCCTGAAACGCACGACATATTGTAGGGGTGAGGACAACTCTCTGTCTAAACCTTCAACTTCACAAGGAGGCAGCAGATCATCACATACCAGCATTATTCATTGCAGACTCCTTGGTTTCAGGGAGCTTGTCTTTTGAATTGGCATCCATCTAAGAGGTGAAGAGAAACAATGAAAAATAACCCCACCAGCAAGATGAATGTGATTCGATCACAAACCTCATTCAAGACTGAATTGTAATACAGTCCATACTGGCATAGAAACACACGTTGCAGGTTCCATTTTTTATTTTAATTTCTGTTGGTATACAGTAGATGTATATATTTATGGGGTACGTGAAATATTTTGATACAGGCATGCAAGTCGTAATAATCAAATCAAAGTAAATGAGGTAGCCATCATCTCAAATATTTATCCTTTTTGTTAAAAACAATCCAATTACACTGTTATTTTTAAATGCACAATTAAATTATGGATCCTCACCTTGTTGTGCTAGCAAATACTAGATCTTATTCATTCTATGTTTTTGTGCCTGTTAACCATCTCCACTTCCCTCCTACTCAGTCCCAATACCCTTCCCAGCCTGTGCTAACCATTCTTCTACTCAAAGCGCGTACTTTTAAGGCCAAATTAAACAAAAAGAAATGGAGGAAACTGCTGTTCAGGCACCAAAGCAGACCCCAAAGAATAAGCCATGGCTTTTCAACCGAAGCGAAGACCTGAATCATAAGGGTACCCCTCTCAAGACGCAGCTCCATTTCCAGAAATTGTCTCAGCAGGTCCGGATGCACCCCTGGTCACCCAGAGCAGCTCCTGAGAGGAGTACTAACTCTATGCTGCAGGGTAAGCCGAACAAACTCCATAAAAACGCCCCGGAGAAGCAGCCCCATGGCAGCGCGGCTGCAATCCTACCTCTCACGCCGCACCTGAAGGCCCGCCAGGCAGATAGGCTTATTCCCAGAGCCCCGAGGCAGGCGAGCGTCGCGTTGGTCGCTGCTTCCAGACCCCGGCTCCTCTGTCCGGAAGGGCTCTGCTGGCAAAGCACCCGTAGCCGGGAACCGCTCTCCGAACAAGGAGTCCAGGGTCCCTGAGGCCGACTCGGACTCACACCCCGCGCAGTCCCTGTCTTTCGCTCTGCCCGGCCGCCTCCTCCGCCCGCCGCCCGATTCAAATTCCCGGCCCCGCCCCTCGATGCCGAACTTATTCTACGAATCACTCCGCTACCGCCCCTTTCTCCGGTCTGCGCACACTCCGAGCGCTCCCAGGCCTCTTTCCTCGGCACAGGAGTGACTTCCTGGGCTCGGAGTGAGGCCACCGCGAGCTGCAGTCAACCCGCCGACCACAGACACCTACTACTGACCTGTGACCGCGGGGACTACTTTCCGGGAGAGTCTCGCGGAGTAACGCTTCTGTTAGCGCTTTAACTCCGCCTCCCACCTTTCTATTGGATGTTGCAAACTTCGAAAAGACTCATTCAACCAATCCTAACAGAGCGAAGAGCTGGCTCTTACCCAATCACTCCGTCCCTACCGCAGCCGTTTCCTCGCTGGGCCGGCTTGTGGGCGGGGCTAACGCGGGAGGAGGGGCTGACTGGTGCTTGGGTCCCTTTCAGCGCTCCACCTCCTTTCCGTAGACCCCGCCCTCGTATGCAGATGAGCGCTGCCTAGACTTGAGTGTGCGCCTGCTCAGTAACGCTGTAAGTCGCCGTCCGGCTCCAGGAGCCTCTCTGATTGGCTGATGCCCCTTCCCGTCTACTAGCCTTCAGCGTCTCTTCCCTCCCTCCATCCCAGCTAGGTTAGCCAGGGCCCGCCCGATACTGGGTGCTGATTGGCTGGACCCTGGCCGGTGACGCGGGTTGGTTGGTAGGCTGAGTGTCAGTCTCGGAGAGGTGGGGGAAGGGCCCCAGGCAGGCTGAGGAGCCTAGGGGCGGGGTGGGAAGGAGGACCGGCCGAGCCCTGGGTGTGGGACAGAGTGCGTGTGTGTGGTGTGTTCCCAAGGGCAGGAAGGTGGCGAAGGGAGGCGAATCCGAGTGGGTGGAGGGAGGGGAAGGGCGGGAGGAGAAAAAGGTGGGAGGAGGACCAGGTGGGAGGGTGGCGGCTCACTCAGGACCCAGCGGGGGCAGCGCGATGAGGCGGGTGACCCTGTTCCTGAACGGCAGCCCCAAGAACGGAAAGGTAACGGGGGCGTGAGTGGGCGCGGCGGGCCGTGGGTCGGGGCGAGGGTGGACGGTGCGGACCCGGCTGGCGGGGCAGCCGTGAAGTTGGGCAGAGGGGCTGGGAGGTGGGCGTGCGCGGGCTGGGGGCGCCCGGGGACAGCACAGGGTCCCCGCGGCCTCCTCCCGACCCTCAGGACCCCTGTCCCCGAGCCTGCCCTTCGGCGCCTCAGCTACCTGGGGGCCGGCGCGGGTCGGGCCGGGGGCTCCGGGGCTCCCGGATGCGCGGTGCGGGGGGCGCGGGGACTGGGGAGCGGAGAGGGCCGCGGTCACCTGGGCGCCCGGGCGGTCGCGCCTCTTCCCGCCTGTCCCCGAGACCCCGCTCCCGCCTGCGGGAGGAGGCGCGCCGGCTCCCGTGCTGAGTAATGATCTGCTCGGAAAGTGGCGGCGAGCACCAGAGCCTGTGGAGCTGGGTCAGGGAGACAGAAGTAAACTGCCCGTGGATAAACAAAATCTTCTCCCATCCGAGGTCGAAGACAGGATTTTAAAAATGGGGGCATTTTCTTGTTGATTTTTGCCCTTCTCTCTGAGATGCCTCAAGCCCCCACTCCCCGACGCCGCCAAACTTCTCTGTACTCGTTTTATTATTTTGCCTTATTTTGATTCCCTAGAGGACGGGGACAGCAGACCCAAAAGGGATCGATTTGACAGTCGCCTTTGCTGTGTTAGGTAGGCCTTTGCGGAGGGTGTGGTGCTAAGTGTTCTTCCAGCGCTGGAGCAAGCCAAAACGAATTCTCTTCCTTCCCAGCCTTTTGCCCCACCCATGAAAGTTGTTCTGCTACTTTGGGAAATTTTGACTGTTCAAGGCAGACATTTACTGCGTTGCTAAATGACACCCAGAAGTAACTCAGCCTTTACGAGTCTAAGGTAAAGGTAAATGGGTTTCACTGTGTTAGTTGCCAAAATACTCTGATGCCTGCACATTCGGGAAACACTGTAAATTTTTAAATAGTGAAATTGTCCAGTGGCATTAAAAATGGCTTTCCCATTATTCAGTGTAGAGTAAACATGCCCTGAAAATTCGAACCAGAGTGTGGTTTGTTGGCTATAATTTTGTGTTCTTCTGGTCCTAGAGATTTAATACTCATTTTAAAACAGAATTGGTATAAATTCGAGTTCTCGAGTTATCATGAATGCTACCCCGAAAATATGCTCACGAAGTTTACATTTCTCATCCCTATTAACTTTTTGTAAACCTGTTCTGTAGTTAGCTGGTATTATCTAAAACGTATGTTGTTACTCTAAGAAAGATTTAGTATATCCAAAATTGGTAATATTTCTCAAAAACAAACTTCTGATTGACCTTTTTAATGTAGTATCTCTGCTGTGTTACTTATGGAAGACAAGTATTTAGACCTAGTCATAAATATTTTTGCTCTAAATCTCTCCCGAATCCACTCAATTTGGTTGTCAAAAATTAACTGAGTTGGTCTTTCCATATTGTTCACACGGATTTTTTTTAAACTATCTAGTTTTGACTAGAGTAGATTCTTGGATTTAAATTTTATTTACTTTAAAAATATTCTGCTAGAGAATCTCAGAAGATTGGGGAAAATGCATCTCAAATAATTAAATATGAATATGTTCATGTTACAACGATCATAAAAATCCAAACTGGAGAGTACTAGATAAAAAGAAACAAAGCCGTGATCTTCACTGCTCAGCTGATGAACATATTCTAAGATAACGTTGGCAGTGCTTTCTCTCCTTTCAGTTGATTAAAAAATTTTATAATTACTCTTATTTGACAAAAGAGCTACATAATACATAACAGCTTGCATTTTTATATATAAAGTGACTAATTGGATTGGCATGATCATGACATGAATGTTCATTAAGAATAAGCTAGGGAAAAGTGCTACTCAAATAGAACAGAATTTGATTTCCCATCCACCAGTTGGAATATCTGTACCACTTACTTTATCTCCTTTACCTCGCTTCTGCTTTTGTTTCCTGGTTAAAAGAATAATCTCTGTTTTTTTTCAAATAAGTTTCCCTCTTACAGTTTGTTTAGTGGTTACCAGACTGTGGGACTATAAAGCCTGGGGAAAGGTGTGGAGAGGCAGAGAATTCTTCCAAGGTGCTGTGTTACATGCTCACCACGAATTTTCTGTGTATTGAATAAATGTAACTAGTGGTGAATGTATTTGATGTTGGAGAGAGGGCTATGCATTCTCTGAACAGTGGTTTCCAGAGTGAGATGGCACACCATGGACGGTGTCCAAGATGATTTATTGGAGGTCAGGAAGAAATATACCTTTTGTTTGTATCTTACACTTAAAAATATAAAATAATATGGAAACGTGATTTTTCGGATCTGGAAAGACACAGGTGCCTCCAGTCATTGAACATGTCAGCTGGTCTCAGGTCTCCTGTAAGAAGGGAGGGCCTTCACATGTGAAAAGTTTAATTAATAGTGGCTTCTTCACTGATTGGTTGTCATTGACATTGTGCTATGGAAGCTTACAACTGCCACGTTAAGATTTATATCTAGTTTTAACTAAATTAACTCTCACCAAAATGCCAAGTGATCTTAAAGGATTACTTCAAAGAAACTGCAGCTTGAAGTCAATATGAATTATGCAAGCATAAGTAAACAATGAGGAAATGGCAGGAGCTGCCACTTCTCCTAGTATGTATAAACCATGAGACTAAAAAAAGAGTGGATCTCTTTGGGCCTGAGAAGTTGAAACAGTGCTGAGTTTTAAAGAAGACTAGTTGAAGTCCTATTTATTAATTGCTATTAATAATCAGCCTCTCCCTAAGTGTATGTTATTCTTTGAAATATTAGCCATTGATAGGATGAGTCATCCTAGTTAGCAAGATATTTAGAAATACTTTCTAGGACATGAAGACAAATGGCTTCAGATTTTTTTTCTTTTCTGATTTTATTTTTTGGTTTTTGTTTTTTACTTTTAGCTTTATATTTATTTATTTATTTATTTGATACAGCGGTTTGTTCTTCCACTCAGGCTGGAGTGCAGTGGCGTGATCTCAGCTCACTGCAACCTCCACCCTCCAGGTTAAAGCGATTCTCCTGACTCCGCCTCTTGCATAACTTGGGACTAATTTTTGTATTTTTGGTAGAGACAGGGTTTCACCATGTTGGCCAGGCTAGTCCTGAACTCTTGACCTTAGGTGATCCACCTGCCTTGGCCTCCCAAAGTGCTAGGATTACAGGCATGAGCCACCACACCCGGCTTATTTTGATGTTTAAAGTCAATCCTGTATTTGGCAGAATTTCACTAAATTTAATGATAAATATTTAGGAGATTCTTACTGGCTGATTCATAGTCTAAATCACTAAAAGTCCTCATCATTTGGGAAAACATGTACTTTCTAATAGTGGAATGTGGTTTGTAACTACATAAATATTCAGATGTTTGAGCACATGCCCAAAAGTGTGTTACCATTGGGGTGTGTGGTCAGAAACATTTGAAGGCCTTAGTTCTAATCACTGGAATCTTTAATTTAAATTTTGAGGGTTTTTTTGTTGTTTTTTAAAACTGCTCCAAAAGAGTCAGTTATGTTGTGCCTGTCATCCTTTTTCCATGTGCCTCAACATTTTCATTATTCTTTTTAATATTCCCTGTAAGAGTTGGCATTAAGGAAATTGAAATGGGGACTTGCGCATCTGAATGCAGTGTGCGGCTTCTGAGCAACTTAATGTCAGTGCAGAATTTCTGCATGTCTTGAACACAGAGTGCTTTTTTTACTTCAGAATATTCATTAATGAGCTGTGCAAGTCCTAGGCCTTTTGTATACTGATTAATTCATCATTCATTCATTCACTCAGTGAACACTTAGTAAATGCCTTCTGAGTACGTGGCATCATGCCAAACATGGCAAACAGGGTAGGAAATACTTTCATTCTGTACCGTGTTTTCATTCTTGGTCCAAGAAATAACTTTTTTTCAGGTTTTGGTGTTAGGTCAGAAACATGTTGTTGGGGGCAGGCACAATGACTCATGCCTGTAATCCCAGCACTGAGAGGCTGAGGTGGGAGGATTGCTGAAGTTCAGGAGATCAAGACGAACCTGGGCAACAGAGTGAGATCCCATCTCTAAAACAACAACAACAAGAAAGAATGAAAAAGAAATGTGTTGTTGGTAGTAAGTATGCCAGTTCGAATCCATGACGTTGTTAGAGTTGGAGGAAGGTGAAAATTTTATGTGAACCTCTGCCTCTGAAGTCTAAATATTAATAACAACCTAGTGAGAGCCCACTTTTTAAGCTTGAACATTTCTTAATATATTTGATACATAGTAAAGAATACAATAAAGAATGTACATAAAAATTAAGAGGAACATAATATAGAAAATATCTGTAAGTCTGCCAGACAACCTGAGAAGTAGCATGTTATCAATAACATAATGTGCTCATCCACTTTCCTGTACCTCTGTTTTGTTTTTCTCTTTGCTGTGTGTGTGTTTTTAAATCAATAGTTTTGTCACATATATATGCATAACTAAATTACCCTTTTTTTTTTTTTTTTTTAAGACAGGGTCTCGCACTGTTGCCCAGGCTAGAGTGCAGTGGCGTGATCTTGGCTCACTGCAACCTCTGACGGCCTGGGTTCAAGTGATTCTCCTGCCTCAGCCTCTTGAGTAGCTGGAATTACAGGAGCTTGCCAGCACTCACGGCTAATTTTTCTATTTTTAGTAGAGACGGGGTTTCACCATGTTGGTCAGGCTGGTCTCAGCTGACCTCCTCATCTGCCTGCCTCGGCCGCCCAAAGTGTTGGGATTACAGGCGTGAGCCACTGCGCCTAGCCATTTTTAAAAAATCAGCTTCGGGACATACTGTATCTCAAATTGATATTATACTGTATATAGTTTTTTGTGGAGACAATGTCTTCTATATTGCCCAGGCTGGTCTCAAACTCCTGACCTCAAGCAGTCCTCCGTCCTCAGTCTCCCAAGGTGCTGGGACTACAGGCATGAGCCACCATGCCAGGCCAGT